ACGCGGCTACAATGGCTGATCAAAGGTTTTTAATCAGAATATATAGGATTTTTTTCCTCCAGAACCATTGAGCCAGGAAAGATGAAACTTATGTTGAAGTATCCTCAGGTAGTGTAGATTCAAGTTTGTTTAAATATTGACCCCAAAGGACATGGTGGGACTACAGTGACTGCTCAAAACTTTATATAGAAATGATTCCAATCTTAATTATGTCGCCCGAAGGAAGTCGGGCGACATAGTACGATTGTACGCATGTTTTTGTTTTACGGGCTGTTTCTCGTAGATGGCTGGAACAATCTTCTGGGAACTTTCCTCAAAGGAGGATTACAGGTTGAAGTTGTGTTGTGTGGTCATTCAGTTTCAAAATGGCTACCGTTGCAATGGAAACTTGCTAAAAGCGACAAATTTTGTCCACGAGTGTTCTCTCTGGTCCCTTGGACTTTCGTCATTAAACTTTTCCTTTTAAATGATTAGTATCTGCAATTGTGCGTGTTGCATTTAGAAATTGGAAATTGTCAATAGTTTTCATAGAAACAGGTGAAAATTGAAAATTCTTTTACTTTTTTTTAATCAAAGTACTGAAAGGACTGATACGAGTTGATGGTTTTCCAAGCTTAGCTGATAGATATTGTTTTAATGCTGAAAAAAAATGAAAGTCTTGTCCAGTTCGGGGCGACATAAGCTATTGCTTGCAATTGCAGACTTTCTAGTTTTATTTATTGATTCCCTCTGTTTTGATTGGACGAGAACAAATTCAAGAAAAAGTTTACACATCGATGAATTTTTCAATCAGAACTACTTTCTTGACCTAGCTTCAAGGCTGTTGTAAAAACAATGAAAGCAGATACTTCTAGTCCGTTTTAGCTAAATTATGATAACAAGAAACTTGAAATAAAAAAACAAAACATGAGATAAACTGGACTGACAGACGGGAATATTATGTTTATGTCACTGTCGGATCACGAGTGTGAATTTTAAAAAAATCGCTGATCATGCTGTCATTTTCTCGACTTTCCATATCAACTTATCAGTTGGTTTCTTTGTGATAGGGAAAAGAAACGTACCTCAGACTCTTGCCTTATCAGCATCAAACTCATATACTTGCATCCTACAGATGCCATATTATCCCTAAAGCTTTGAAAAAACCGGAGAAAATCGAGAACGTCGTCGGTCTGCAACGTTCGCTATGAGCGTTGTCGTTATTGTCAACATGACCATTGTTGAGGACGAATTATTCTAGAGATTACGCGTATTTCCGATATTTGTTGACTTAAACAACATTCAATGAGTTTTAAAAAGTTTATTTATTGGTTGTTTTGACAATTTAAGTTGAATTTTATAGATGTACATCTTGTATACGTTTCTTTCCGGCGTAAAGTGTTCCTACGCCGTACAATATAACGGATTGTACAAAATAACGGCCTCAAAGAGAAATAATTTTAATAATTTTAAAAATTCGCAATTGGAATTATAAGAATTAAACTTCTTTTTTTTTTTTTAGAATTTATCGATGTGTAAACTCTGCCTTTTTACTCAAAAACTTAACATAAAAGTGCTTTGCACTTTCATTTTGTTTGGGAGTAAAATGTCAATAGTTTACACATCGACATTTTTTTCAAAAAGAACGTTTAATCCTATAATATAACCAAATAGCATTATGTACACCTATATTACTATTAAATTCTGAAAAAAGAACGTTTCATCCTATAATACGTAGGACAGATCTTTTGAAAATCTTCTTCTCAAGATCAGCAAAGCCATTATTGGTGATATTGATATGAAAACATTGATTCAAGTTTCTTCATATCATGGGCCTCTAACTATCCATATCTTATTTACACATCTTCCTGGATATATTGGTGCACCGTACTCTTGAAGTTTCTCTTTCACTACCTTAATTAGGAGTAAAGAAAGAGGCTTGGTTGAACATTTACTGGAACCCGCTATATATCTTTGTTCGTAAGGACTCTTATGAAGTTCCAAATCCAATATATAGATATGGTAGGTCAAAATCATTTTGTTTCTTTGGGATATCTATAGCATTCAAAACTGACATATGGTTTTGAATAATTTCTTCATTAAAAGGGAACTATGAGTATAACTTGGATTACAACGAAGAATTAAATCAAAGTTCTTTTAAAATACAATCTAAAGAATGAGTCTTATAAACAAAGACAATGTTGTAACCTGCTTTGTCAGAAGTCTGATCATGAAATCTTTCTATCGTTCTCTAATGATTTATTTAATAAAGAATGATACATGATTTTCATATTGTCCCTCAGTCATTTATTGCGCGATCTTAACATGGATCTGATACATTTCATCAATTCTGACATAGTGTCAACGTCTTCATTTTCATATCTGGCCCATCGCCTCACAAAATCTTCAACAGAATCCACAATATTTAGGATACCCCGACGTCAGTTGAAGGATCTACATATATATGACCCTTTAAAATAAGTGATATAAGGTCCTTTTTTAACTATATTAAAGTCATGTTCAATAACGTGTCCAGCAGGACTTTAGTTATTGGGTGAAGAAGAACATGAACATGACGGACGTTTATATGTCAGATATTTGATATCCAGGCCATGTAAAATTTCTTAATTAAAATATTTAAATGTAATACTCCATATATATTTGTAGGAAATACAAGGTTTAGTCTCTAACTTAAAATTTGGTGGAATACAAGACTGAACCCTTTTGTGATCAAGGATATTTCTTATATTAACTCCGTCAATTCCTTTATTGGCACATTGAAGTTTAAGGAAAAGACAGGTTGTTTTAGCTATATTTTCTTCAGAAAACTTTGGGGTTTAAAAGCCTATCTTTTGCATTATTCATAATCACTGATCCGAGCCTATATTCCAATTACAACACAAAATGAATTAGTTTCAACTGATATACAAACCACACTGCACCATCAGCAAGTGCTATCTCATTCGTCAAACCTCGGCTGATTCCGTCGCCTTCATCAGATGAGGTACGATTTGGCAATGGTGTGCAGAGTGGTGCTATCGAAAAAGGGTACATGTAGTTGTAATAGGGTGACGCAAATCCAATGTTATGTATAAAATTTCGAAAAGGTGTTCACATACATGTATAGATGTATTAAAAGACAAAAAATGTGAAATTCTAATAACAAACGACTGATAACATACGTTTGCCATCTAGGTCTATTTCCAGAACCAGGCAAATCGTGTTTTAGTGTTTGTGTGTGTGAAATTGAAACTTGAAAATTTTGATTTGGTTGACATTATCTTTGTTCTTTTAGGAGAAAAATCTATTTGAATTCCCAAGGGAACCAGATAAGCTTCGTGATTAGCACACCTTTTTTTCATATTTAAATAAAGTAGAGCTTTGCAAAGTTTTATGCGTGAAAAGAAAAGAAAACACTTGCGGTGGCCTTCAACTCGACATTTAGGTATATTGGGGACGTTTTGAAAATTAACAAGGGGAATTTCCTATTTGTGTAAACGTATCCATGTCCAATCACACAGAACTACAATTTGGTATACGTGTGAAATCATACAGAGCTACAATTCTGTATATATGTCAAACCACACAGAGCTACAATTCTGTATGCACGTCAAATCAAACAGAACTATAATTCTGTATACATGTCAAACCATACAGAGCTACAATTCTGTTTACATGTCAAATCACACAGAGCTACAAAGCTGTATACATGTCAAATAACACAGAGCTACAATTCTGTATACATGTCAAATCACACAGAGCTACAACTCTGTATACATGTCAAATCACACAGAGCTGCAGACCGTAATTTGAGTAAATATAAAGTGATGAAAAACTACAAAACATTTTGTTTTTCAGAGAAAGGTTCTCAAACTTCCCATGTAAAACAATGAACCTCTTTTCTGGTCAAAGCTAAATCCCAAACAATAATGGCTGAAACATTTAAATGTACTTCTTAAGGAACTTGTATTGTTTATGAAAAAACTATTGCCCTATGGGTCTTCAGAAAAAAAAAACAATTTTTTCCCGATCGTATCGCATGAATTGAAACAAAACCTATATTTTCAGTTTCAATTACCATATGAATAATCAAAGTCTTCTTTCTTATTTTTTGAAGAAAAATATTGTTTAATATACATGAATTCCTTTGTTGAAATGACAAAATACTACCATTAAAATTTTCCAAGGTAACATTGATGTTTTATTGCAGTCATAAAAAGTGGATAATTATCATGTCAAACCATATTTCCCGACCATGACAATGAGCGCAAGGCGGGTGTGACTGGTCGGCAAGAGATGCTCACTCCTCCATAGCACCTGATTCCACCTCAGATGTTTCGGAGGTCCGTGTTTGCTTTGCTCATATTTTGTACTATTTTATGGACTTAGATATTGTATAGTGTTCGTTATCTTCATACTCTTCATTCATATCTCTCTGCTATATACAGTCTACGTACTTTTAAATTCATATTGTTCTTCTGTGATCGGTATCTATTTAATTCAGTTCAGTATCAATTTAAATACAAGTTTCAGTATTTTCAATCGCAATTGATTTATAAACTTTTGATAAGTAAGTTATTGATTTCATTTTAAATTTGACATTGAGTCCTGATTAACAATATATTTCAAAATGTATTTCTGTTTTATTTTGATAAATGTTTGACTGACAATGATGAGTATATAATATTTATTCTTTATTAAGACTAAGAGAGTGAGAGAGAGAGACAGAGAGAGACAGACAAAGATTACTAGTAAAAATTAAACAGATTCAAAGACATTGGTATTTCCTACTAATGTATGAAATATAGTTTGGTCAACTGATTTGACAGTCACGTGATCATAAAAAAAATATATGCATGGTGTACTCTGATACATAATTTTACTTTTAGTTAATTAATTTTAACTTTCTCTTTAGTTATTTTGTTAAGCAAAAACAAAATTCAAATTTTAAGAGGATTCAAAATCTGAAATAATTGATAAATGCGTATTTAATTCATTTGAGCAGATTTTGTAACTACCGAATGAGCCTCTACATCATGGACACATTAGAAATCAGCACCCAGTGTAGAGTACGACAGTGTTTCCAATGTCAAGAGGACACAGAATTCTACTGTAACACGTGTAAACATGGACTTTGTCTACAGTGTAAAGAGAGACATACCATCATTAATCTAGATACCATATACCATGATGTTGTGATTTACCGTGAGAAATATGGCTTTATCCCAAAACAAGAGCCCTGTGAGAGACACACCGACATGTTTTATAAAAAGTACTGTCATTCCTGTAAAATTCCTCTCTGTTTCCAATGTCCAGAACACAGACATCATCAAACACTACGCATAAGAACAGCATACAGAAGAAACCGTAAAAAACACAGAGAAATCATTCACAAAATCAGAAGTGAGACTCTCTATAACAGCTGTTGTCTTCTGGCAGGAATCAAAGCTGATATGAAAATTTGTCACACAGAAATATCCAACCGTCAGTCAGAGATGTTATTAAAAGCCCAGAAACTAAGGAACCCCATAAACATTGTGATGTGTGATGTCAAAATCAGACACAAAAGATTTTTTCAAAGTTTACAACAACAGAAGAGAAAAAAAACAATCAGACATCTTGCCAGCATAGAAACCTTTGAACACAGATTTGACCAGATAGCAAACAGACCGATAAAATTTATCATGTTACTAAAGAGAACACGCGTACACAAGATAAAGGACACTCCTAGTCTCACACGATGCACCCTGATCTGTCTGATTGAAGAAATCAATATAGAGGAAGTGACTGATTTACTGTTTAAAATCCAATTAATAGAGACAGGAAAAAGACAAGTACGAAATGAAAGTCTGCTGAAACTGATGTCTACCCCTGTATTGCACAGGTGTTTCACTGTGTCAGATGAAATACATCATATTTCCGTCGTGACAACTGACCAGGTCTTGGTCAGTGATGGTAAAAATCTTATCTTGATTAACTCAGAGGGTGACATACTAAGTCATCTGACAGATGTAATTAGCGTGTTGGGACAACACACAGTGAATCTTACAGGAGATGTTATTTACATAGACAGGGGTGGTAACATTATCAAACTCTCTAAAGATTTCAGAACGAAGTCTACACTAATAAAGAAAACGGAACAATGGGTACCACAGTGTATCTACTCCTCCCAACTCAATGGTGATTTGCTGATCGGGATGCATTTCTACCATTCATGCTTAATAGCACGCTATAATGACACAGGACAAAACAAACAGACTATACAACATGGAAACACAGGTCAGGAACTGTATTCATATCCTATCTGTATCACAGAGAATCGCAATGGAGATGTTGTTGTGTCTGATATTGATGGTGATCATGGTTCTGTAGTGGTGACAGAACGTGGAGGAAGACACCGTTTCTCCTACACAGGACACCCACGAGAATCCCGATTTTTTCCATTAGGAATCTGTACTGACGCGCTGTCACACATCCTGGTGTGTAATTTTATCACCAGAACAATTCATATAATTGACAGGGACGGTCACTTCCTGTCAATGATACTGACACGAAGACAAGGGATGAGTGGACCAATGTGTCTGAGTTATGATGACAAAACTCATCTTCTCTGGGTTGGATTACGCTACGGGGAAAAGAGAGTGTGTGTTTACAGATACATAGCTAGGCAGGACTATCTACAATACATAACAAGTAAAATAGATACATGACATTACACATTCTGTACTGACACAGTGTACAATCGGAAAAGTGAATTAGATATATGACTAACACATGCATACAAAAAAGTATAGGTGAAATTTTCAAAGTAGCATATACAGTTGTACTGAAGAGACGTTCATTTAATCTTATATATCAGTAATTAAAAGTTGATTTCTGATTGAAGGTAGATTTAACTTGATGAGAAATATATTTCAAATATTTTTAAAAGCACGATTTCAATAAAATGGGAGAAAATAAAGGTATAATTTCCTCCCTTAACGTTAACAATTGTGACCCAACCCCTAAATAAATTGCAAGAAGTTTTTGACTGTCAGAAAATATTCTAAAAGAAAAACTTTATGCTCACGGTTCTCCATGAGCTGTTTTACTTAACGCATGATAGAAAAAAGACAAATAATTTGTTTTCACATGATAAAGAAGAAGGTACGGTTTTGGTTTTATTGTGTCCTAAAAATTTAATGTTTTCAAAAAGTTAAAAAGTTATGAAATTGGCTTTAACAAGAATTGAGTAGATAAATATGATAGATCATTAAAAAAAATGACATGAAGTAGGACCGTTTTGGAAATATGACATCATTAATTTAGTACATATATAAGTTTTGACGCAGAAAAGCCTCAAAATGACTCATTTCTTCGCTTATTTTTAATTTAGAAAATAGTGTCTGCCACCGTCGCCCAGTTCGTTTTTTGGATATATTTTGTAAACTGCTTTGAAAAATCACATATCTCAAAATCTACGCGGGCAACGGTAACTGAGACTGTTTTCTGAAAAAAACATTCTAATGAAAATTAATGTCCTCTGCAACTTTTTAAGAAAATACGGGAAAGTGCACAAGTTAATGACGTCACAGTTAGCATTTAGGAGGTCATATGAAAAAAACGATTTGTGTATTCTTAATGAAAGAATGAATGAATTTTGATTTTTTATATCAACTTCATATTTAAAAAAAATATAGGGCTTAATTTGTGTAAAAACTGTTCCTTTTTCTTGGTACATGTGTATTTGCATTAATAATACATTGTATTATATTAAAAAAAATAAAATGTTTTTTCTACGGAGCCACGACTCTAGGTTGATGTGGGCAATGTAAATCAAACATAACATCGTACAGAAATTATTTAAGGGACAATATCCCTCTGCTCCACATTTCACGACCTTTTTTTTGAATTCCAAACACTGATTTTCAGCAACAACTATAACATTCAATTCAAATAAAAAATTGTTTGAAGTATGAAGCGTCGCTTACTTTTTCAGAAATAAATGATATGTCAAATCATGATTTGAAGAAAATTTGATATGGTCATTAGAAAGATCAATTATTTCTAATCTCACAATTAAATTAGAAATATGAGGTATATATAAAAATAATATTTACTCTCATACCTATCTAATTCCCTTTAGAAAACATACTGGAGCGATGCTTTTTAAATCAGAATATCAAATTGTTTTCTGTGCATGTAAAATAAAATGCATTCATAAGCAAGAGTTATCGTTCCATTATCGCCCTTGAAATTCTTTTTTAATGAAATAAAATATTAATTAAATGTTTATAAACAATTCTGCAGCTTTTATTTCTGTACAATTAAAAGACTTTCACGTTTAGAAATATATCTTTTAATCAATTTACACCGTTTAAAGGAACTGAGTGTAAATGTTTTCGGTAAACTATTCAAAATAATTTTTGAATATACTAGCAATAGAACTAGAAATCAACCTCTGAACGATGGATGAGGTTTGCTTGAGTTAACAATAAAATGGTCCATATGATAGAGATTTGTAAACTCTGGCATGATAAATTACTGAATTTCATGACAAAATGTCTGCAGAAAGTTATCTTTCTTATATGTAGAGTTATCTCTCTTATCAGAGTATCAATGAACCTTAATTGAGGTAAACAACTGTTTTAAATTTTCAAGGAACTCTTAAAGTACACGTATTTTACTAATTTGAAGTTTCTTTTTCTTTCTTGTTCGGTGTTTCGAAAAAAAAAAAACAGACAAAAAATAATCACGACAAGTTTACTTTCAAAAATTGACCTCAGCAGTTCGACTATATCGACTAGAATTTCTTCTGCTTTTCAGATCGTGCTTTTAGTTTTCTGAATATGTACGAAAATGACATATGTGTAGAGAATGAGTGAATTAAAAAAAGAGTGTGCATATATTCTTTTCTAATTGTAATGAATAGTGATTCAGTTGCGAATTTGATTACAAAATACAGTGGAATTTTAGAATTTCACGATAAACTCTGCAACACAGTAAAATTTCAAACGATGGAGGAAAACCTTATGCTGACAGACAAGCCTGTAGATAAGTTAAAAAAGAAGATGTGTTTGTGAAACACTGATGCCCAGGTATGGCAAAGATTAAACTTTTCTTAAATACAAATTTAGTTAATTGGTACCAAAAGTAGGGTATTTTCACTGTAAAATAATTCTGAAATTTGAAATTAGGCCAATGTTAATTTTTTTTTTAATACGAGGGTTGTCCCAAAATTTCGTAGACTGAGCTTATATCTTTTAAAGAAATTAATGTATCTGTATAAAATTTTCAGGGTGGATAAAGCTAGTTATTGGTAGACAAATTACGAAGTTTTATATTGTTTACTCGAAAACTTTTCGAGTTATAGGATTTAAAGTGATATCGTTCTCTTACACCCGGAGCAATCTGCAACGTCAAAAAATACAAATGTCAACGGTTCAAATTTTGGAGAAAATATTTCAATTACCAGAATCAAATTCTTAAATTAAACGAAACGGCTATAATTATAAATGTAAAAAATCTTAATTACTATGATATGATCAAACATTTAAAAATATAGACAAAGTATAAGCATGTACAGGTATGAAATAATTATTATTTGAAAATATGATATACCAAATTTTAATAGCAACTTTTGGGTATTGCGCCGCCTTCCTACATCAGACAATGAAATTTGTCTTTTAAATTGGAATATTTCATTAGTTACTCCATATTTGTCCATAAATTTATTAGATAGTGTTGGTTTTATCTATATACGAAGTTTCATTAATGTATGACTTAGAGTTCCTACAAAACAACGCTTGTCTACGGAATTTTGGGACAACCCTCGTAAGTAAGAAAATCTCCAAAGTCAAGGTCAAAAGGTCAAGGTAATATGTATCCAATGAAAGGTCTTGCCACATAGAGTACTTATGTAGAGTATGGAAGTCCTATTCCTAACCGTTCAGTAGTTATGGCCAAGGTTATTTATTTCAAAAAGTAGATCAAACTCCAAGGCCAATGGGTCAAAGTCCTTGTTATCAAATGAAAGGTTTTTCTTGTCAGAAGGATTAAATTTGTAAAGTATGAAAGCACTATCCTTAACCCTTAAAAAGTTAGGTCAAGGTTTGCTTTTTTAAAGAAGGTCAAACTCAAAGGTCAAAGTTAAAGGGTCTAAGTTCTTAGTATCCAATGAAGCGTTTCTTCACATGAATTACATATATAATGTATAAATGCCCTATCCCTTATTGTTCAAAACTTATGGACAAGGTTAAAGTTTTTTCACAAGTACAGAAATCTCCAAGGTAAAGGTCAAAGGGTCAAGATTGTTGGTATCCAATGAAAGGTCTTTCAACAAATAATTCATATGTAAAGTATAAATTTCCTAGTATCTATTGTTCAAAGGATATGGCCAAAGTAAAAGTTAAAAATGTTCATGTAAAAGTGGGTCAAACTCCAAGGTCAAGGTCAAAAGGTAAAATTTAGTCGTACCCAAAGAAAGGTCTTGTCACAAAGTAATACACTTGTGAAATGTGAAAATCATGGCTCCACTAAATCAAAAGTTATGGGCAAGATTAATGTTTTTATGAACAAACATACAAACAAACAGACGACAGACAGACAGACAGATACGACAAAAACTATATACCCCCGAAACTTCGTTTACGGGGGCAAAAAAACTACCTATGACAGATTGTATTTGCTGAAAAGGTCATTGTAATGAGTTTTAGTTTTACGAAATGCTGAATTTAAACAAGGCTGCTGAAATCTCTATTACATATACACTAGACAAAATTGCTAACTCATCACTTAAAATTCTTTACTGTGAAAATTTGCCTATTTGGTATTAGTATATGTAATGCATCATCTTTTCCAATACAGTGGGCTCGGCAAATGCCTTTGTGTCATGAAAAAAACCCAAAATTACCTTCTTGCGCGAAAACCAATTTCCCGACCTTTTTGCCTAGATATATACATTGCTAATTACCAATCATGGTCCTTGATGTAAAACCAGAAAGAGTCTCTCAGATAAAAAAAAAATGAAATAATATACAGCGATTGACTATTATATCGCCTGCTAGTCACCAAATGCTTTGATGTTAATACCCAGTCCACTTTACTTCCGGGTAACCAAATTTTGTTGAACAGCAATGAAATTGCGGTATTTACATACTTAAGGTAAGTCACTCCTGAAATTTGTTATATCAATGATTTTTTGAGAAGTATATTTTGCATAAGTATTCATAAAGTGTAACTCAAATTCGCAAAGAAAATAGGGGGTCAGTGTGCATCCTACTGATCTACGGTACATTTAAGTTGACCTTTCTGCACTTAAATTTCTTCTCTGGTTAATTACTTTAACCCTTATTATATATGATCAAATGTAAACATGGCAATAGATATAATCTTATTTTACATAAAATAGTTGGAATAATATTTATCAGTAATCAAATTTTGCAAATTAATGCGCGTTAGTTATTTTGTGACCTTTCTGCACTAAAAAATAACATATTTGGGGTATTAAAAAACTCAACAGGCAATAAAAAAATTTCTTATATTAAACTTTTTACGACTTAAGTGCTGATCAGTCACAAGTATCGAGTAGTTTAAAATAATAAAAGAAAAGGGTTGGGTCAGTGATGTTCATTTTGAAATATTCGTCAAAATATGTGATTTTCTGGCAAAAAATATTGTATATTTGTTCTTGACTTCTTTAATATATTTTCATTTTTTGGAAATGTCTGTT